CTAAAGGTAGTTCTTAATAACGCGAGTATTAATACTAATAATAAAAAAGCTCGTAATATTAGCTTCGATAGTCTACCCGTTTCTAGCGGGAGCGAACGAACCTTTAATTAATAGATTCCGGTTATTAATAAGGTAAATAGCTCCGTAGTTATCGAAGATAATACTTTCGGAAAGGAGGTATCGTATTAAATTTATAATAAAAAATACCTTTACGCTAGAGGTTATATAAATAATACGTAGGTCGATTATCGTTACGTTAATATTGCCGAATTATTTATTATTTTTATTACGCTTATTCCGAGGAGGATTAGTTTCGAAAGAGCTACCTTAACTAAGAGCGGTAATCTTTTATTCGTCGCTCTTAATAAGAGCTTAGAATAAAGTAAAGTCGCTTAAGTTATACCATTATTTAATAGCTAGTTTTATATCGTCGAATATATACGAGATTTATCGTAACGTCTTACCGGTAATAATAAATTAAAAGTTAACGTATACTTCCGAAGCTTAACGATATTATTTATTATATAAATACTTATTAGCTTTAGCGTTATCGGTTAAATTATTAAAGCTATTAAAGCTACTAACGTTAGTTCTTCCGGCTTTATATCCTAAAGTAGTTTTTTAATACGTAATTAATATGTAAAGGCCGATTTACTTATCTTCTTATCCTCGGAAATAAAAGCTCCGAATATTTTACTTAGTTTTATAAGGAAACGTAGCTATCGTTTAAACCGGTTTACCGTAATTAGTTTAATAGTCGCGCGAATAGCTTAGTTTAAAGCGATCTTAGCTTTAATAGCTTCGAGGAAATCCTTCGCTCCGAGTACGCCTCGGATCTCGTTAATATCGTAAGCGAGAGCTCGGTAGTAAGCGTTATTTTAAGCGGTAAAGAATTACTCGCCGTAAAGGATACCTACCTTTACCTTTTATAAGACCTCGCGGTATTCCTAACGAACGAACGTTTATATAGTAATAAAAATAAGAGCGAGGTAGTCGCGGAATAATCTTATAATATTTTAAACGTTCGGCTTAAGTTCCTAAGCTTTAAGCTATATACCGACGAACTCGAAGTAATTAATAAAGACCGAGGATATAATCTAATAGTAAAAAGCTCGGTAACTTTTACTAGCGATGATAGCTTAAAACTCTTAAGAGCGACTTTATTTAAATAATTACTTATAATCTTCGATAAAGAGGTAACGCGGGTTTTCGGCTAGAGCTTTTAACTCCCTCCTACGAGTCATAGGATCTTTCTTAACCTATTCGTAGAAAGCTTAGAGGTACTACTTCCTCGCTCGCTCCTTTTCCTAAGCGATAAATTCTTCGAACGATAAGAGTATCGCCGAGCTTAGCTTATAATCGTTCGCGTTAGGATTAATATCCTTCTAGATATCGAACTACTCGGCGTAGTTTTAGAAAGTAATAAATTATCGTAAATATTCGTCGAAGTTACGAAGGTTAATATTAATAGGTAGCTTTTTAATAGAGAAGTTTTCGTTAATATTAGTAATTATTATAGATATATTACTCGAAAGAAAGACGAAAACGATATAAATAAAAGCGATATTTAAGAAAAAAAACGATTAATCGAAAGATTAAAGAGATAGAGATAAATAATAAAAATACTCGAAAGCTTATATAATAAGACCTTAGTTAACTTAGCTCCTTAGAAGGGCTACCGGGCTTATAATTATTACGTAAATCGGGAGAGCTACGTAGGTACTAAGGTTACTTCTTAGGAGTAACGGAAGGTAGGAAGAAGAAGGTAAATTAACTAACTATCTAAGAAGAAAGGAGATAAATAAAGAAAATACGAGCTACCTATATATAAACGATAGGGAGCTACGAGCTATGTTATACAAGCGAGCTAGGAGCTATGTTAGGTAAGCGAGTAACTAGAGAAGAAGTAGGGAGCCATGTATAGGTGGCTCTCTACGTAACATATCGGTTATTAATAACTATTAGTTTATTAATTTTATCTATACTATTAATGTTAATATCTATATTATATCGTATATTATATCGTCGAGTCGCTACGTTTAGGCATTTTAAAATACCTTTAGTATAATAAGTTATTAATATTTATATATTTAATTTATACCGATTAATAGATTTAGAGGGAAAAAGAAGTTATCGTAAGTTTAGTTAAGGTATAATTATTATTAGCCTTTATTCGCCTTTAGTATTAATAAGAGAATAACGGATCGTATAAGTTATCGTAATTTATATTAAAGCGTTCCTACGTCCTTTATATAGTAAATAAATAACTATAAAGGGGCTGTCTTAATCCCTATAAGCGCTATTTACTCGTGCGAAATATATTATATTATTAGCGGTTCGGGGGAGCGGTTAGTATCGAGGGCTAGGTATTATCCTTAGTAGCGGTAATATTACGACAAAAGTTTCTCAAGCTTACGGATACCTTTATATAGTAAATAAATAACTATACGAAGGTTATCCTAATCGCTATAAACGCGGTTTAGTCGTCGTATTATATCCTAGTATCGATAATTTAAAAGCGTCGCCATTATTTAAAGGCGAAACGTTATTCTAATAGTAGTAATATCATTATAAAAATTACCGAGCTTATACGTACCTCCTTATAGTAAATAAATAACTATAAAACAGAATATTTTATTTTAACCTAAACCGCGGATTACTTCGCAGGTTATATAGTAGCGCCGATAGCGATCGGTATTCTTTTAATTCTAGTAACGTAATAGAAACTCTATAAACTAAAGGTTAAGGGTTTAAAAAGTTATAAGGTAGTCGTTATTAAGAACAAGTAAAGCGTACGTTATATTAGAGTCCCGGATAGGCTTACTCGAAAGTATATTCTATTAAAGATTATAATATGTATAATAATTTAAAATAGGTAAAATTAATATTATTATACTAATCGAGAAACGAGGAATCTAATGTAGTTATTATATCTTAGGTATATCCTTTGGTCGTAGAGATGTAATAGTCGCTAGCCCGAAGATATAAGAGGTAAGGAGAGAAAAGGGGCTAAGCGTAAAAGTTACTTATTCGGTTATAGCGGTACGACGAAGCGACTTAAGCGCTTATAATTAAGATAAATATACCAATAAAAAAACGGCAAATCTAATAATAAAAATGAATCTTTAATTAAGGTAAAAACAATAAAGATATATTACGTAGGCATGCGCTCCTAGTAGGAACCACCGAGCTTACCTAAGCTGGTTGAGCACTTTTATATGTACCCGTAGATTGCTCCATACTTTCTAGTAGCTTTCCTTCTTTCTAGTTAGTTAATATATACCTTCTTACCCGCATTCTATTGCTCTCTTTACGTGCAACCTAGTAAGCTACACGTAGCTCTCGCCAGCTACGTAACAAGATAGTAATTTAGTTAGGTAATAAATTAAATGATAAGTATGGCATAGCCCGTACTTACGGGAGCTATAGTTACTTTATACAAGTATAAGGCCTATCGTAGCGTGTTACGTAATGTATTAAGAGGGTATGTCTTACCGTACTACTACAGTATTTACAGAGGTATTTATAGAGGTATTTAACGCTGTAATTAATTAGTATAATAGAGGGTTTAACGTATTATAACTATCCTCCGGATAGGATACGCTATACAGAACTCTAGTAGCACATAGGCTCTGCTCCTTCTTAAGAAATATTATAATTTTATATAAATAATAAATTAATTAAATATTTTATATTATAATATACGTTCGTTACTTAATTATTATATTTTAATTACATATTATATAAATTTTTTATATTAGATATTTCTAAGAAAAATACTTAAGGTTTATTATTATATAATAATTATATTTTCAAAGCTTAATTCTAGAAATATAAAATCTTTTTAACAAGAAGGTATTATCATTATTATTATATAAAAAATTTATATTCTTATTAATAATAATATTTTATCTAGTATAGGTATCTCTACTTTATTAAAGTTGTATCTATTTTAAGAGCTCGAAACGAGAATTTAACTAATATGATTTGTGACTTTTAAGAACGTATATTAATAAAGTCAAAAGTAGTTAAAAGTAGCGACTATTGTTTTTTGTGAGGGCAGGGTGGCTCGTTGCCTTGTAACATATGATAACCTATAGCAGTGGAGCTTATCCCTATGGCTATACGTAACCGCGCTAACGTGCCTACAACAGATTATTAAAATAGGTAAGTTTTAGTATTTTTTAGTAGGAGGGTAGCCTGTGGTCATGTGACAGATGGTACGACGGGGAACCCGCCGACTTGCAGCAGACCCAGGATATAGTCCTTTGATCCTAAAAAGTTGGCGTTTAGCCGAGATTTGAGGTCCTCTTTGGCAGATGGGCCATAGGCAATGATTCAATAGACGGTGTATTTTAAGAGGCAGGTACCTACTTACTTTAAGATACGCGACATTAGGTACGTATGTGCTTGTACGGTATTCCACAACGAACGCCGACGTGGTTTAGAATGAACTGACATGGTAAACCAGGTAGATTTTGCTGACAGACAATTCTCTGCGTGCCTTGGTCCCCCATCAATTTCTACGGGGATATGTCTTCCTCTCCCCCGACCGCGAGAGGGGGCGAAAGAGAGAAGAGAGGGAAGAGGATTAGGCCTGCGGCTCGCCAGGCCCGACCGCTTCAGTCCACCTCAATATAGAACGCGTCGTGTGGGGGGAGGACCCGGGGCGTAATTCCGTGGCATCTATATATCTCGGGCCAATAGTCGTTGCCATTGCCCCTTCGTCGCCTTCCGGAGGTCATCGTCCCTCGGTCAAATTCGCTCTCGACCACTTCGCTCTCGACCACTGCCCTCGGCAGTGACGTGAACCGCCGGGGATCTATTTTAACCGGCAACGATATACAACAGCCTCGGAGGAGGTTGCGCTTCTATGTTTATTCATATCCTGTCATAGTCCGCACCCCGTCTTGTGTTTGGCATGTTCGCCTTCTAACCGACTGGACATTCTCCGGCACTCCTCTGATAAGGCCAGTTTCGGCACTCTTCTTTTCGTGAATATGAAGTTAGTGGCATTCGTCCTCGCCGCCGCGGCGATCCCACGGCAAGTCGTGGCGCAGTATGCCACGGCGGCGATGATGCGCTTTCAGTGTTCCAGGTATGCTACCGGACGTTGGACACGCAAGGGGCAAGAGGTCTGAGATCGATAACAGATTAGTCGTCCAGCGCGTCGACCCTCTCGTGTCTCCCGGCCTCGTCCAGTCGCCACATATCCACCAGATTGTCGGTGGAAACTCGTTCAATGCCACTATGCCACCTGTCGAGTATGATCTTCCATCCAAGTCAACCTGCACAACGTGCTCGTTCAGCGAAGACTTCTCGAATTATTGGACTGCCAACCTATATTTCAAAGCCCGCAATGGCACTTACAAGCGTGTGAAGCAGATGGTCAACCTCGTGGGCGCGCCTCGTACTGCTGTCTCTTGCCCTCTCCCTGTCCGTGAGTATCTCCTGATAACTACCTATGTAGGGTCTACAAGGTGAAGAGGGCGTTACTGTCTACTACATACCACCGTATGATGGGCGAACCAAAGTCACCGCCTTCAAACCGGTAAGTAAATATAGTTGGAGGACAGGATGCCGTCCGGTAAATTAGACCTAGTGACCTTACAGGCGTAATAGGGCTTCCGCATGCTCGTCGGGGACGCGATGCTGCGCACAGCTCAGGGGCAGCAGAAGCAGCTGTGCCATCGCTGCTACACCAACGTCAACCAGACCCCTTTCGGCGGCGCCCCCTGTGCCGACGCCAGCATGGATACTGCCGCTCTCCCCCCCCAAACCATGCGCCGGAGGCATCCGTGCCACTATCACCTTCCCAACGTGAGTGTTGCTCTATCTTCTCCGCCTATCTCCGCCGCATTGTAAGTTCAGGTTTCAAACACCGAAATAAGCGAGAGGTGGAAGAACAAAGCTAATGGTTAACATCACGTCCTCCCATCATCTAGCTGTTGGGACGGTCAGAACCTTGATAGCGCCGACCACAAGAGCCACGTGGCATACCCTCAAGGGGGCAGCTTCGAGATGTCATCGCCATGCCCGGCAAGCCATCCGGTACGCCTGCCGCAGGTCATGTACGAAGTGATGTGGGATACGCGGGAATTCAACGACCGGTCCTTGTGGCCTACCGACGGCTCCCAGTCGTTTGTCTACAGTATGAATGACACTACCGGCTACGGCTGGCATGGCGATTACTTGCTCGGTTGGAAGGGAGACTCCCTTCAACGTGCCCTTGACGCCCGTTGCTCCAACGACCGTTACTCTCAGCTCCAGACTCAATCCGTCACTCAGGCCATCGCCTGTAAGAAAGAGCAGACCGTCCAAGAAGACATCGACGGATGTGAGCTCTCTTTTCTTTTACCCCCCTCCCCGTTGAACATGGATTGCTGACGCCACGGCTATTGTCCCCAGGGCTTGAGGAGCTGCCGGACGCGGCCATGTAAGAGGACTGTGTTGCTTATACACCCCATCCACGACGATAGCAATGTAGACACACCTCTGCTCTCCCAGGGTAGTCGGGGTTACGGACTCTGTCAGCCGTCAGAGTTGCTCGCTCGCTTAGCTAGTAAACAAGTGAACTATTTCCACAAATCCGGAGGAGGTACTCCATCCCCACCACCATCCACTCGTAGTTGATCAATAGCATATCGTGAGTGTAGCGCGGTACGAACCTGGGGAAGGCGATGTGAGTTGTACGGAGAGCTGCATCTGCTTTCGAGGCCATTCCGAATAAGGACGGAATGTCCGTTTCTCTTTTTCTATCATGACAGCTTTTGATTAGCCCGGGTACCCACACCCAATCCGTATACTCCGGTATTACACGGGGCTTGTGACGCCACGCCGATAAACAAGCCCACGAGCCCCCAGCCATATTCATTATCGTTATTTTCTTTCCCTGTTGGGAATCGGGCTTATTCCAGTTGATATACGAGGAATGGCCAATGATACCGTCAGGCTACCCCCGCGCTGACATGGCGAATTTGGCTCGGTAATCTCAGCAATGGTTCATGGACAAGATGTCACGCTGCAAAGCTGGCTTCGCCATTTGGGTCGCCTTGGCTACCGGAGACTGGGGCGTGATCCTCTACCCCCGAGTCGAGGATCCTCCCGCAGACAATGCGCAAGTTTCGGCCCACACGCACTTCGGCCAGGACGTTCCTCTCGGCAGTTTTGAAGTCGGTGATATTGAGGATTTGCGGCTTGGGAATTCTTAGCCGAAGCCGAAGCTTATCTACGGCCTGTATGAGCCATAAGAGGGTTGGGTCGTTCTTGTCCGGGAGAATGGCGTAGCCGGCGCCGAGGTGCGAGTTGACAGCAAGGACGCTGTTCATCTCGATGACGGGAAGGACGGACTGGTTGATCATATGCTTGGTTTCTATTACGAGAATATCCGGGTGCCGCTGCCAGTGACTCTGAGACCACTTCGGGGCCCAAAACATGCCCTCTAAGCTACCATTCCTCTCCAACGGAAAACTCCAGATGTCTTCTCTCTCCTGGAGGTTGATTAGAAGCGCCTGGACCCCTGTGGCGTTCTCTTTCGCCTTCTTCTTCCAGGCCTGCACGTGATTGCCCACGTCCTCAAGCTTGGCGAGGCACTCCGGGAAGGACTTGAGCAACTCTTCGTGGATGGCTCTAACCGTCTTCTTGTCGATAGCGCCAGCCTCGATGAAGCGTCTCTGGTCGTCTGACAGCTTCCGGTGCTGGACGTGCTCGCTCGGGTCACTAGACGGGGGGTGATTGTGTTCCGGGACAGTGACGGCAAAGTAGCAGCCGTCTTCGCGAACATTGATATGACCAGAAAACGGACAGTTAGTCTTCTTCGTTGTGGTCTTCTTGAGCCCAATAGTAGCTTTTGATTGGAAACTGCCGGATTTGTCACAGCGAATTAAGTATCTAATGTATTTGCCCGTCCGTTTTGACTTGGCCTTCGCGTGCATGACAATAGCGTAGCCTTCCTTGGCGGCGTGAGTCTGCACCGCCCTCTCACAGTCTTCTATGGTGGGGTAGATACCCTCGGCCGGGGGAGCGAGAGGCATTATGACTAGTAAGACCTAATTAACAGTAGGGGATATCAGGGACGATTTGATGAGTTCGGCGCACCTGGCAGTTGAGTTGACAAGAGACGAGAGAAGTGGGTTGACGGCGGGGGAAGCTTTAGAAGTGTGATAAGGCAGATCTAATTGGCCTAGCCGGAGGAGGCTTGAGCGAGAGATTTGCATCAGCCCCTGAGCGGGCGTAGGCCGCCAGTGCCATGAGTGAATCCCCGGCCCTTTCATTATTCCGGAAGCGTATAAGTACTACCATACGAGGAGGGGGGGGTCTATGGACAGTATGTCAGCAATAGAGTCGGGGTACGGACACGGTAAGTACATCTAGTAAGGGTTACCTCAACTAGTCATTCTTTCGAAAGAGCTAAAAGAATTACAGCAAGGGTCGCGGTACCGACCTTATTACCTTCCCTTCTTATAATTTCAGGATGGTTTTTATAACTACGTAGAAACTAATATCTAGACAGATATGATTACGTAAGAACTAATGTCTAGACGGATATAATGTCTATATATTTCATAGGTACCTACCTACCTACCTACCTACCTAGACCTACCTATCTAGACCTACCTACCTAGACCTGTTGTCTTTATCTTTTTTCTATAAAACACTATGATCTACCACCTATCTTCGAACCTATCTTCGAACCTATGGGAGCTAGTTCGGGTGCGTGGAATCTATCTACCATCTATCTTCGAACCTATAGAAGAGGTAGGTAGGTAATAGACGTAAAAGATACAAAGATACAAAGGTACGTACTTAGTAACCTAGAGGTAACCGGGTAATCCTATAAAATATACCTTTTTTAAAAATAAAAACATTATGTCTGGATGGTAACTATGTTAAGAAATAGTAATAATGTTAACCTAAAGTTTAACTTATTCTTATTACGAGGTAGATACTATGTCTAGTTATAGAAAGAGTTACTAACATAGTGTTAATAGACTCTCCCTCCCCTATATAGTATCTAGGTAGTTTATATACGTTGAAGTACTTCACTATGTTTGCAATAAGCATTAGAGGTAGTAGGATAGAAATATATTTATAAGTATATAGCTAATGATGAGATTATATTATAATTTAATTTATATTAAATTATTATTATATTAAATTCTTTAATAATTCAATATTATATTTAAATTAGTATATGTAAAGTTTATATTTATATTCTCTTATTAGGTAATTTTTTCTATAACTTTTATTTAACTTAAAAATATTAACTTTTTTTAAATTTATAAGATATATGAAAGCACTTTATGTTTTTTATATTAAAAATTAAAGCTTGTTTAAAAGCTATAAAAAAAGAAAAGAAGAGATGAGTATTTAATAAAATTATAAGAAACTAACTTTAAATAACCTATATATAAATAAGGTTAAAGTATAAAAATTACGTTAGATATATAGTGTTTTTATTAAATGTAAACATTTTAATAATCTTTACATAAAAGCTTATTGTACGTTTTTATTAGACTACGATTTTTAGTTAAGAAAAACTTAAGATTATAATAGAAAGAAATTTAATATATTTTAATAATCTTCTAAATATAATAAATATAAAGTAATTTCTATTTTATTAAACTATATTAAAAACGTATACATACTATAGTACTATTAAAAGATATGCTCTTTAAATTTTTATAATATTAAATGAAAAGGCTTTTATTTTAGTTAAAAAATATTAAAGACTTTTAAAGTTTACTAATGAACAGGAGCAGCGTGGGCACGCTAACGGAGGCACGAAACGGCTACCCAACTGCCAACAACTGGCCCAGTACCGATCAACCTAAGATCACAGCTATAAATAGCTATAATCGGTTAATCGGCTAGCTAAAAACGGCAGCTAGGAAAGGGGGACTAGAAAGGCAAAGACGAGGATGGCTAGAAAGGCATGGCAAGAAACGAGTAAATGGCTATAGGTCCTAATGTCTACAGGTCTAAGTCTAGCTAATAAAAATATAAATGCGCGACCCATATAAATATATATCGAAAAGGCTACGTGGCCTAGATCCACCGCACTACTACAGCCTCCCTAGTTCAATTAATCCGCAAGGAGCAATTGAACTCCTAATACAACAGGTGCGGTGGCTCTCGTCCCCGTTGAACCTGATCAACCTGATCCCGATCAACCCTGATCAACTAAAAGCTAGCCAGTTCAATCAAAGGCCAACAGGATAAGTCAGGAAATAGGTCAACTAGGCGATTGTAACAGCAACAAGTGGGTGGTGGGGTAGGTGACTGACTGCAGCCGTGCCTGATCCTGAACCTAATTCCTGATTAATCCCGAACCTGTTTAATCGTTGCCAACTGGGAGCTGAGCCAGTTCAATTAACGATCAACAGGAAACAGGAAAGATCTGATAACATGAACTGGGCTGGCGGAGCTGTAACTGTAAACTAACCTAATTAACCTGTTCCTAATCAACCCTGATTAACTGGGAGCGAGCTAGGTTTATTAGGGCTATCAAGAAATAACAGGGATCCGTTAGGAAAATAGGAACTGTAACGGGTAGGTAAAATAAGCGTAGCTCCCGTGAGAAATAAAGAAATAATCCCATACGATGCAACGTAATCCCGTCCTTCTCGTTTATGACTGGCTTTGCCGATCCTTTTAACTGATTCCTAATCCTGTAAACTAACTGATATATCCTGTTTATGCCCGTTTCTGACTCGTTTCTGGCTGTTCTCGTGTGACCGTTCCTATATTCGTCCGGTAGTATCTACCGGGCTTTCCTTAACCCTCGATCCCTCCCCTGTACGTGGTTCTAGGGGCTCTGGCTCTTCCTACTAACTACATATCGGTAAAGGCGATAAGAGGGGTCTCCGGGCATTAACCTAACTATTCTATAACTAATGACTATTTTTCCTAGGCTTTCTTATTTAATATCTATTTAATTAGTATATCGCGGTATCGTCTATAGGTCTATCGCGCTAATCGGTAGGCTCCCCGATCAGGTTCGTAGGTATAAGGTCTATCGGTATCTTCGTATAGTAATTAAGGGCATCGTAGTACCTATCGGTTAGGGAGAAACCTCCTCAGGTACCGTATCTGGCTAGCAGGGATAAAACAAGGGCGATCGGATGGTAAGCCTCTTATAATTGAAACTAATCGGTAAAGAACGGATGCCTTTAAGCGCGTGTTATAAAAAAAAAAGGGGTAGTAGCGGTAATAGAATTAGATTAACTAAGAAAACGGCTATCTAGGTACTGAAAAACGAAGACGAGACCAGATAAAAACGGGCATAGCTCCTTTAAAAGAGATAATTAAGAAACGAGGATAAGATAGATCTACTAATCGGCGAACGAACTTTTAGGTAAGCTAATCAAAAGCTAATGGGAGGGCGTAGTTATTAATGGTCGCTATGGTTATCTGCCCTCCCGTTAATCCTAACCTAAAA